TCTCTAAAATATAAGCAAAACATGGAATTTAGAAGGGAGGTTTGATATTCTAGTAACTGAAATTTGCTTTGTAAATCTTATGTCCTGTCTTTTATGTTTAATAAATACCTTATTAGATTTTAAACATTTCCCAGGCAGTGGATTGCATTTCCCAGACCCTATAGATTTGAGTTGTTGGACAAGTTAGTGACCGCAGGGGGCAACAGGCCCTCAACCAAGTGTTTTATAAGGGGGGGGGATAATTTTGGCCCCCCCCACCAAAAAAAACCAATTTGATTTCGAAACTAGAAGTATTTGAAATCATATATACATATAATCAAATATCTGTAATCGATATTTTGATAACATTTCTCGTAATAATCCATCCTGACTCGTGGATATCATAGACTCACAAATCATAATGAACGAATTAATGAAAGGGCCTAACAAAAGACGTATACAAGACTTTGAAAATGCCATTTCCGACGATTTAGAGACGCAAAATTTTCAAATTTTTTTCGCTCTGTGCCAACCATGGTGGCGCTTCGTGGGAGTCGGGAACTCTAAGTTTATCAAGCTGGCTCCCTAAGTGACGGCCAAGTTGTGGTATCTACATAACCATACTATGCAAGTACTTAACTGAAGGTTCAGTCTATCTACAGCATAATGTAATGCTGTATATCCAAAAATCTGTTTCAGAAAATGCAGGGAATTGCAGTCATAGGGGTAGAAAAATGCAAACATTTTCTGGGGGAGAAAACCCCAGACCCTCTCGCAGGGGGGGGGGGAGCTGGCGGGCTGCAGCCCCCCAATAATTTGCTAATAATCATTCATTTTTCAAAATCATGCAGACCTTTATTATTTAATCCATGACAAACTGCAAAGAATGAAGATATTACCCATACTTTCCTGCAACTTATCCAATATATCGTTAATTAAATACACCTTCGCCCATTTAGTACTACTGAATTCTAAATTTCCACATACTAAAAACGCTGTTTTCTGACAATCAGAAATCTGTCAAATCTTCCCCAAAGTCCAGGAAATGGCATTTCAGAGACTCTAAATTTAAAAATTTCCTCGGGCCTTCGGCCCTCGCTTTCAGCCCCCCCCCCCAAACGAAAAGAGCTTCCTACGGCCCTGCTCTCCCTCCCCCCCTACTATTAAATGCGATACCACACCAAACTTTTTGTTACCAACAAACCATCTATGATTGCTCCACACTCGGTATAGTATGGTCCTTTTTGTAGATGGCCCCCCCACTGACGAATTCTTAAAAAATGCCCTGGAGTAAATAAATAAACTTAATGTGAGATACGGTATTTCCTATCAATGTTTGGTTAGAAAATAACTCCAAAATATATCGATTTTCATCGTCGTTGTTGTATATCTATTTTCATCGTCGATGAGGCGCGTAGCGCCGTATCGGCTATCGCTCACTATTCGACGAGAGTGAGTGGAATAGCTGTTTTATACACAAGGTCTGAATTCACAGACTTTGCTTTTCGGATATCATCAATATTTTTCTATTTTGTTAATGTTTTTATCTTCGCTCTTTCGGCCGATTATTTTTTCAAAAATATATATTTAGTTTAACCATTTTAAATTTTAAAAATTGACTTGCTAACCTGTAAACAATTTGAGGGTGTTTTTCATTGTGTTTTTAATCTTGTAAAGGCTATTAAAAGCGAACAACTTGCCGTTTTGTCGTTCGCAAAACGTCGGAAATTCAGTTGAGCCGCCAATTTGTTCTTTTCTACTAGCAGGATATGAGCTAATATCCTGCTAGTAGAGAACCAATCAGATTGCTGTGTAAATAATAATAAGCGATATTTTTTGGAGATTTTTCAATTAAAAAAAATCCGCTTAATAAAATTATCGTCTTGTCATGACAACTACTTTAAATACTTCATGTTTGGAAAATAAATGCATGTATTTTCTAGTATTTAAACTAATTTGCCTTAAGGTTGGTGCAACAACAAAGTGGAACAGAGTCCCAATGAAAAGAATTACACCTGATTTACAAAACAATAAAAATATATGACTATACATACTATACCAAGGCCTCTTTTAAGAACTTGTCAGTGGAGGGGCCATCAAGAGAAAGGGACCCAACTAGAAGGTGGTGAACGGGGAAAGTGGGAACTTGCCCAGAAACATTTTGTATTTTTAAGTGTCTGGGACTTGATTCTCGGCATTTTTAGACACAATTTTTTATAAATTTTATCCGCTATATATAGACAAAGATTTGGTCATAGGAGCAGGGTTCGTGCTGGTCTTGTAAAGTTATTAAAAAGGAGTAATATTAAGGAGTTTTTTAGTAGTAAAATAGCAGTTTTCAAGGAGTGTTTGAGATGTTTTCTTTCAAAGAAAATGAAAACATACAAAATGGCGGGAAAATCGAATCCAGATCGGGCCCACGGTTTATTGAGCAGTGTAGCTTCCAAACAAAATACCTGGTGTAATTTGGTTTTATAAACCTCGAAAGTCGGTTTATAACTGATATATTGCCCCCGAGGACGCGTAGCTTCCGAGGGCAATAGTAATGTTTACAATACGAGCGGCCGTGTTGTATTGAATATACAATCACGAGCGCGCAGCGCGAGTGATTGTATATTCAATACAACACGGACGCGAGTGTTGTAAACAACTTGTGAAATTCTATTCATATGCAAACTAGTTACAAACACTCGTGGTTGTATCAGAAGAGTTACAACCACTAGTGTTTGTAACTGATTAGCATTTTCATGATTTCATTTGTATGGGGTTTACAAGGTATACATATGATGTTATATTTGAAATTTGATTGGGTGCAAACCTCATCAATTATTCATGAATTTCACAATATCAGTTATAAACCGACTTTCGAGGTTTATAACTAACTTATATCACATTTGTGGAGGTTTTCTAACATATTTTGTCATTTTCAAAAATGTTTAACGAAAAATTCTCGCGTTTTGTCTACAAGTTTAATCTAATCATTTATTCAAGGTATATAAGCTAGTTATAAACCTCGGACGATCAAAGAAAATCGACACAAATGTGATATAAATTGTAATATTGACGAACTTGTATATAAACGAATTGTTTCTAACGCCGATGTTTGCACCACGAAATTTACCTATGGCAACTAACAAAAGTTAATACTATGGTTTCACTTACTGTTTGGCAAAACATTTTAAGAATTCAAGGTCGGAGTATTTAAGGAATTTTTAAGACTGTAAATTTCAAGAGCTTTTCAAAAATTTCAAGAGCTTTTCAAGCGCCCTTGAAAAGTCAAAACTTATTCAAGAAGTATTTAACGACTTTAAGGAGTAGCATGAACTCTGTAGGAATACTAAAATACTATTCTTAACTTAGTTATTCTTCCTTTTTAGCCTATATTTTAGACAGAAGACGCCTTTACTGGGGGGGGGGGGCAATATAGTTCATTGGAGGAGCCAAAAAGGGGCTGGGGGGATAAATCTCCTAGTTTATGGTATTAAAAGAGGCCCTGTACAATTTTACACCACAACATTCAGAACAGACAAGTTTAAAATTGTTTTTAACATTGTAACCATCGAATTTAGGCTTTCAAGATAAAATACTTTAAGTTTTCTTTTTCAAACTAGAACTGATTCTAAACAATGCTCTTTGTCAAGACACGCGCGCACCTACAGGAGGCATAAGATTAAAATTATGAACTGCTTAACAAGGTGTGGTGTCTAATCTTGTAGAATCTTGAGATTATCGGCTCTAAATGGCATGGTGGAAAGGCGGAGTCGGAGTACGGAATGCGGAGTCTGTCAAAAATTGTTTATTTTGCCTAGCGATTCGATTTTAACGAGACTTCGCGTTTTCCACTTCATGGGGCATAAAGTGGAAAACGCGGAGTCTGTCAAAAATATTTTTATGTTACTTGAAGATTCGGTTTTAACCAGACTCCGCGTTTTCCACTTTATGCCCCATGAAGTTGAAAACGCGGAGTTTGTCAAGAAATTATTTATTTTGCCTAAAGACTCGATTTTATCTTAAACGACATTTTGTTATTTGTACCATGCAAAAAGCACATTATCATTATTATTATTATAAATTTCCAAACTAGCAGTAACAACTGAATTACTTTGGAATTACAGGGTATAAGAACATAGGTATTCAATCTATTCTATATTTACAGGTAAAAATAGGTAAGTTAGATAAAAAATAACGATAATAATCTAAAGTTTACTTATTATTATAAGCACGAGACGCAGCAGGAATGAAACTGTTCGAAAAACGTTCAGTTCTACACCTAGGTACTAATAAGTTGGGATAAGACCTCAGATTATAAGTTTGAAGACTTTTAGGCGGTACTAAGGCATTCAGTTTATGAGTGGGTTCCAACATCTTCGAAAAAAGTCGCTTGCAATGGACAGTTCTACGTTCGTAAAGAGTCATCAAGTTAGCTTTAAGCAAGGCACCCTAAAATGGCCGAACAAGCTGCGACCGAATCGCGCAAAGCATTACCGTGAGACTCATTCTTTAATGTTACTCACTTTGGAGCCATATATATATATAAGCTATAAAACGACCTAGCTTACTGGTAAGCTGTAAAACACGGAATCTGGAATCTTGGAATCTTGGAATCCTGGAATCTTGGAATCCTGGAATCTTATCATATAACCGCAAAATATATATGTTATTATCAAGATATTATTATTATACTCGATAATTTAATCAAAGCAGACCTTGGTACGTAATATATTATAAGTATATACTATACGTTGCAGAGTTTAGTATGTCTATCTTGATGCCAATACATAGTAATGTAAACGCTGTACGCGCATCTAAATAGTATCGTCGGTTTATGATGAGAGTTAAAATCAAGTGCGTAGCAAGATGTATGACCAGGCGGGAGGCAACTAAAGAAACCATATACAGTATATATATCTTCAAAAACTCATTAATAATTCATGAGGAAAACACAAAGAGAAATCATAAGCGTGGCGTGTCTTTATATGTGATAAAACACGCTACAAATTTCAACTTGTATTTTCTCAGCTAATACAAAGTTATTTTGGAAAATTATTTCACCAATGCCGTGATCTAACTGAGACGTTTTTGAAGCTGTTTAATAAACTCGTAGTTCGTGTTTTATCACATATAAAACACTCCGCTACGCGTCGTGTTTTATATGTGATAAAACACTCCTACTCGTTTATTAAACAGTACATTGCAATCAGGAAAACCTCAATTAGATGCACCGCATAACACCTCGTATTCCGTCAAAAAATAGCACACTTCACTTGCGAACAATTGCCGAGTTCATATAGTCTATATTCAACGAACTAAGGTTATAATAGCACGTGGTTAATGAGGCTCATACTATGTGAGTTATACAGCACGTGGTATATAACCTTAATTCGTTGATGGAATGGAATGGAAAAACTTTATTTAAACAGGGTGGCCCTTTCAGCGCGAAGGCTGGTATCCATAGGGGCCCTGTGTCTAGATATAAGCTATTTATAGGAATTACATTTTAAGGTATGATATATAAAAGTAAAAAATATTGTCGCAATCAGTTCCGTCACTTCCATGTTCCACATCAATAAGAAAGCTCATTACACACAATTCGTACGAGACGTGTGAAAGTGTGAATGGACTCAGCTTTCATCACGTGATCAGGGAGCATATTATAAACCTGCACCCCACTGAAGATAAAAGTATTTTTTCCAAAATTATATTTAACTTTGGGAAGTATTAGCCTATTTTTGTGTCTAGTATTGTAGCTATGTACATTACTAAATTTCTTAAAATAATTAAAAAAATAATTCGGGACTAAAGAATGTCGACATTTGTAAACTAATATAGCTTTATGGTAAGAGCGTCTGCAGTTCAATGAAGACCATTTTAATTTTTCCATCGCTTCGGATGATCTTTCACTCTGTGTTATAATTCTTGCGGCGCAATGTTGCAATCGCTGTAATCTGTCCTCGTCTTGTTGCAGAAGGCTACTCCAGGTAATGTCACAGTAATCGAACACTGGCAGGATAATACCGTTGTAAACATGTATTGCTGCTTTCTCTGTTAGAAATGTTCTAATACGCCGTAAGACATTAACTCGTACTGCAACCTTTTTGTATACATGATCCGCTTGATCTTTCCACGTCATGTGACTATCGAATACTACACCTAAGTACTTAAAAGTGATAACACTTTCGATACATGACCCGAAGAAGTTCACGGTAAGAGCTCTGTTTCGTTCACCGTGCCTCTGTGAGCAGAACAAAAAATTTGAAACGTTTGCTTGGTAAATGTGGAAAAGGAACTGGATGCACTGGTGCAGGTTCAGCGACAACTGATTTGAAAGTTAAATGCAACATGTTTAATCGTTTCTTTAATAGATTAATAGACTGTATATGAACTCGGCAATTGTTCGCAAGTGTGGTATTTTTTGACGGAATACAAGGTGTTATAGTGCATCTAATTAATTAAGGTTTTCCTGATTGCAATGATATATATACTGTATATCGTTTCTTTAGTTGCCTCCCGCCTGGTCATCTTGCTACGCACTTGATTTTAACTCTCATTATAAACCGACGATATTATTTAGATGCGCGCACAGCGTTTACATTATTATGTATTGGCATCAAGATAGACATACTAAACTCTGCAACGTATATATACTTATAATATATTACCAAGGTCTGCTTCTGATTAAATTATCGCATGCAGAACAATATGTTGCATAAGTATAATAATAATATCTTGATAATAACATATTTTGCGGTTATATGATAAGATTCTAGGATTCCAAGATTCCAAGATTCCAGGATTCCAAGATTCCAAGATTCCATATTTCAGATTCCATATTTTACAGCTTACCCTAGCTTACTCGTATTGATCAACTGCCTATTGATGATGCGGCATAATAGAAAACGCATTATTGATTGGTCAGACCACCACGACCACCAAATAGCATGATTTAGCCAATCGCGTACGACCTTTCGAACAGTGCGTGCTAACAGATCTGACTGTGCGCATGGATCACCTTGCTACAGTGCGCTTTTGTTTAATATATAGACAAAATGCGATTAATAAAGCACAAAAATCGTATGTTACCGATCTGTTTCTACATTTTCAACAGCACACCTTTTTTTTATAACACCATGCATCTCTGAAATAGCTACGCTTCAGGTCCTTCAGACTTCAACTTTTTTAACTTCAGTTCAAGTCACTTCAGTCTAGACTTTTTAACAACCTCCTCCGCATATCACTAGCCTTAATTCGTATATGCCGCCTGCGCCGTAGCCGGAATGTACCCTGCGCAGGCGTACTTGTTATCATTGTACCAACAAGATTTTATTAAACGCGATGTCCATTCATTAATTTATATGATAATTCTCAAAGCCATTTTTAAATATAAGGTCATAATCTCTGATAGCATGAGTAAGCTATGTATATGTATATATTATTATTAATACAACACTACTCTAAACCTCATTTGATAATAATAACTGAACATTGATGACTTACCACAGACTATGATGACACGCTTGAAATCCTGCTTAAACGGTGTCCATTTAAAATAATAATACTCAAAGCCGACAATGACCAACACGACAAGTACACTTAAAACCAGTATTTCTCTGTATATACGCATTTTGATGTAAGATCATTTCAAAGTGGCAAAACACCTTACTTATAATGATATCAAATATCCAAAACACTTAATTCTTTGTTTGCAATGACGTCAAATTTTGGAATTTCAACTGACGGGCAGGTAAAACAAAAAAACGGCCAATTTACAATGTATTGATCGAGTTTAGAGACAGTTTATAAGACTCAAAAGATGAATTACCGTTCAGTTTTTCTTGCGACAACAAGTTGTTTGATTGCCCGCCATTTGGAAGTAAAGTCACGCGATTGCAAACAAAGAATGCGACGCCTCAAGGGACAATGAATTTTTAGCGGAAATCGCAATTAAAGCAAATTGTGTTTTTATGAAATTTATTAGCTTGCCAACGACTTAACCTGTTCCTTTCAATAAGTTATTTTTAAGGATTCCAATAATAGTTTTCGTATTTTAAAGAAGGGAGGAGTTGTAAATCTGAACCGCTGAGATATTAACATTACACTGCAAAAAACGCCCAGCCTGTTATTAACTTTACAGTAGCCACTGAGTATTCTAATAAAATTCAATACAATGGAAACTCCGAAGAAATTCCATATTTTTAATTCAACTTTTTGACTACTGTTGAGTCATCATCAGGAATTGTGCAAATTTTACAAGTTATATATGGGTTGGGATAAAACGCGGGGGGGGGGGGGGGGT